ATTTTTCATATTAGCAAAATAATAGAACTCTATAATTCGCGAAATTGTTCTATCTAACCCAAAATGGCTTGTTAAATAATGGTTTTTTATGACAAGAGCTTTACGCATAGCCCTTGGTACGACGTACAGTTCTTTTTCATTTACAATTTTATATAGTATCCCGTCTCTTAATACAAAGTCAACAACTTCACCTTTCTCTCGCTTGCTTCTATTTCGCTCGGTTTTTTCGAGAATATCAATTTTACGTGCTAACTTTTCGTCGTGTCTCTGATACATTAGAATTTCATCTTCTCTTATCGATACATTAAACATTGTCCCTACGTCTAATTCTTTGCTAACTTCTTCTACAGTAGCACGTGACACACAGTGGTTCAAAATGCAAAAAAGCTGGTCAGAATTAAAAAATTAACTAATTAAAAATTATTTTTTTTTTACTTTTAATTTGGTGAGAGAAAATGTTAATATACAATAAATTCGTGCTCAAAGAAAAAAATTTGTTTATATAATATTTTTTCAATAAGGTCAAATGTTGCTTTTCAATTTTTAATAAATGTCTTATAGCAGGATGAAAATTAACTTGTTATCTAAAAAGGTTGAAAATCTTTTAAATTCAATTGATTATGACCGTTCAAAATGTATTTGAAAATAAAACATATATACCACTTGACTATATATTTCATATATAATAAAGTTAACACTGAAGTTAGCATCTTATACAAACAAACCTCTACAGTTTATGTTAAATTAATAAATAAACTTTATAAATTGTTGACAAAAAGTATATTTGTTCTACACTGTTCAGTTAAATAACTTATTAGGATTTATTTTTCATTCATTCATTTTACAAATGAAAAAATATTTAGCTGCCCACAGTTGCCCCTACGATTTTTTTTTAATTTTGAAATTATCTTGAAAGATTTATAGGGTTATAAAATGGACTTGAATGCAAAAGGTTAGTAAAATTTAAAGTTTTATATCAAATTCGAAAAAAAGTAGTCAGTACTAATTACAAAAGAGTTTATATATTTTAATAAAATAACATAAAATGTTAATTTAACCTCATAATTTATGTTTTTATAACAAAAATAAAAGTAAGGTACGTTTAACCATAACCAATAGGTTAAAAAATTGAAATTTTTTTTTAATATTGAATACTCATTGATGATAAAATTTTTTTTTCCTTTTCAGAATTTATTGATAGAAATGAAGCAATAGGCTTATCGAGAAAGGAAATATTTTGTATATTAAAGGACCATCTAAATTAAGGCGCTATTGCGGCATATGAAAGAATTGAATTATTTATGTCTGAAAAATTGCAATCTCCCTTTAACTTGACAGAATCTCTTAAACCGAGTATAAGAAAATTGAAATTCGAACTTTGCAAAAAATGGCAACAGGCTAAAAGGATGGAAGAAAGGTTCTTTAAAAATTACAGTGATTATCTCGATGTTTTCATCTCTTTCAAAGTAACTGATGAAGTAAAATCGTTTAAAAAATGTAAAGCAGGTCGTCCCAAATCTGAGTTTGCAAATTCGAGTGAAAGAACAAAGCGAAGAAGAACTGAAGATCTTCGCTCACAGGTAAGCACTGAACAACTATCTTATGCGACACAAATGAGCTTCAGAGCAGCTGGAAGAAATGATGCTGCATTCGTTGTCAAAAATATTACATCAGGTAGTCCATCAGTAGCTAAAAAATATAGAAAATCTACAGACCCAGAAGAAGAAAAGACTCTTTCTGCTGATTGTGCTTTATCAGTTATGATCGAATTGCAGTTATCTGTGGGACAATATAGAAGTTTACGAGCGGTGAGCAAAGAGAAGAACAGTAAGCTTTTTCCTGCTTATAATACCGTATTAGAAGCTAAAAATAAATGTTACTCACCTAAATTAGCTATTTCGGTAACAGAAAGCAGTGCTGAAGTCGAATTACAAGCTCTTCTAGAACATACCTCCAAAAGGATTTTACAAACGCAAACATATGTTATCAAAAACTTGGATGCTAGAGATGTTCGACACTTAAATTTGATCTGCAAATGGGGTTGTGACGGTACCTCTGGTCAAAGTGTCTACAAACAAAAATTTAATGATGACGATGGAAGAAAATCAAATGCCAACATATTCTTTACTTCTCTAGTACCTTTGCAACTAAAATCCGTTAATAATGGAGTAAACACAGGTATGGTGGTATGGAAAAATCCCAGAACATCTTCTCCTCGTTTCTGTAGACCCATAAGAATACAATTTGTACACAAAACAACTGAGATCACTACCAAAGAAAATGAATACATACAAGAAAAGGTGAATCAACTTACAAATTTCGAAACACAACTGGATGGAAAACAGATAACTATATCGTATACACTCGCTTTAACTATGATTGACGGAAAAGTGTGCAATGCAGTCACAGAAACGACATCAGCTCAGCGATGCTATTTGTGTAATACAACAATTTCGCGTTTCAATAATATTGACGATCTTTTAAAGATTCCAATTAAGGGGGTATTCTGGTGTTTCGGTTTCAAAAAATCGATTTTTTTTTTGTTGCATATTTCGGAAGTACTATATTTGGAGAATTCACTGTCTAAATATTAGCCCGAAATACCAAGTATTATGGAAGTAACATCTCATAGTCGAGATCAGGTTAGGACCGCACAGTGGGGAGAATCGTGAAAACATACCAAAAACATCAAAACATTCTTCGATTTACATAATGCTTGGTAGTCTTATGTTTTCCGGGTTGCTGATTACGAATCCGATGTCAGATTTTAAAAATTCAAAATGGCGGATCCAATATGGCGGCCGAAATTTTTAAAAATCGATCCAATTTGCCTGAAACTTGCAACTCGGTGGTTTTTGAGGTCGTTGATTACGAATATGATATCACTTTTCAAAAATTCAAAATGGCTGATCCAATATGGCGGCCGACATTTTTAAGAATCGATCTAATTTGTTTAAAAATTGTTATTCGGGGGTTTTCGGGGTCACCGATTACGAATCCGATGTCAGATTTTCAAAATTTTCAAAATTAAAAATAGCGGATCCAATATGGCGGTCGATTTTTTTAAAATTCGATTCAATTTGCTTAAAAATTATTAGTCGCGGGCTTTTGGGGTCGCTGATTACGAATCCGATGAATTTTTAAATTTTTCGGTCGCCATATTGGAAACGACATTTTGAATTTTTGAAAACTGATATCCTATTTGTAATCAGCGACCCCGAAAACCTTCGAGTAACAATTTGCAAGCCATTTAAATGATTTTTATTTTTCGTCCGTCATATTGGATCTGCCACTTTGAATTTCGAAAATTTTGAAATTTTGACACCAGATTCATCATCAGATACCCCGAATACCCATGAGTAAAAATTTTCAGGCAAATTGAATCGATTTTTAAAAAAATCTTCCACCATATTGGATCCGCCATTTTGAATTTTTGAAAACTGATATCAAATTCGTAATTATCGACCCCGAAAATCCCCGAGTAACAATTTTTTAAGCCCGTCTGAATGATTTTTATTTTTCGTCCGCCATATTGGATCGGCCATATTCGAAAATACTGAATAAGTAATTCGGACTAAATATTTCAGTTTTACCTGAAAGTCAATTACTACCAATTCCGTTTTGATATTTCGCTAACTTTTTAATTTTTTTGAAATCCGTAATATTCTGAAGTAAGTACGTTTAAAATCAAATATCTATAGTACAGTTGATATAGCTGCGCGAAATAGTTGTTTGGCTCCGGCATTGAAAATCGAAGGTTCAAATCTTCGGACCGTCAAATTTTTTTCTACATAAAATTTTAAAACGGAATTCATAAGAATTAAAATATTTTAATTCTTTTCAATTTCTCGCTTCTTACTGGGTGACTGAACATCGTATGACAATGGATAGGAAGAAAACGAGAAGTAGCAGAATTCGTCCAAGTTTTGGTGATAAAAAAAGAAACTTTCGCGGTAATCGATACACAACGGGAAAAAAAATTGAATTTGTCAGTACATCATCTCGCAAATTGAAAGATAGTGGTGATTTTGATGTAACGTACGATGACACTTTTAATTATAGTTTGTTGAGCTTCAGTTTAGTTTTTACAGCGTTGCAATCTTTAGTGAAGTGTAAATTGTGTGATGGTGACGTACAATTTCTTAAAAAATCTCCGCAGGGATTGGGATTTAAAGTAGTCGTGAAATGTTCTTGCCAGGAATCTACAATAAACTCTTGCCCAATGATAAAAAATGCATATGAAGTCAACAGGCGATTTTGTTTTGCTATGCGGCTACTTGGTGTCGGTTTGGCTGGCATAAACATGTTTTGCTCAATAATGGAACTGGGTTCTGGAGTCAGTATAAGTTGCTTTTACTCATTGCTTGAAAAGATACATACTGCCGTAAAAGCCGTATCTGAGATGGTTTTAAAAAAAGCAGTGAATGAAGAAAAACAGAAGAACATTGAAAAGGGTTATCCAGAGGACGAGCTCACTGTGTCTGGCGATGGTTCATGGGCAAAGCGTGGATTCACATCACTTTTAGGAATTGTCTCGCTAATCGGAAAATATTCGAATAAAATTGTGGATGTGATAGTACTATCAAAAGTATGCAAAGCTTGTGAAAAGTGGTCAGGAAGAGAAGATACTGATGAATACTTGGAATGGTATGAGGATCATAAGGATAATTGTTCAGCAAACCACGAAGGAAGTTCGGGAAAAATGGAAGTGGACGGAATAATCGAAATGTTTAAAAGATCTGTGCAACTTTTTGGTGTGAAATATAAGCAATTCATTGGCGATGGTGATTCAAAAACATTTACAAATCTATTGCAAGCTGATCCTTATGACGGCAAACCTGTAGTTGAAAAAAAAGAATGTGTATTACACGTTAAAAAACGTATATACAGACGTGTTAAAGACGGCAAAAAATCACTAACGCAGTATTTGAAAGCAAAGAAACAACTCGAAGAAGCCGAAAATAAGAAATCTAAAAGACAAGAACTCGAACGTGCACCGAAAAGGCGTAAAACAAAAAGAAATTCATCGGCTAATAGCGGTGCTGTAAAAATTAAAACTCTCTCCTTGACTAATAAAGTAATGATAAAGCTCAGCACATATTATGGACTAGCAATTTTAAGAAACTCGGAATCTCTTGAAGAAATGAAGAAAGCTGTATGGGCAACGTACTACCACCTAACCTCCACAGACAAAAAACCGCAACACTTTTACTGTCCAGAGGGATTGACTTCGTGGTGCGAATATCAGAAACTCAAAGCTCAGAATCAACAAGATACTTTTTCACATCCACCCGCATTTGATGAAGATATAGCGAAAATTTTAAAGCCAATTTACGAAGAATTATCGTCGAATGATCTGTTGGAAAGATGCTTAGGAAAAAATACACAGAATAACAACGAAAGCTTTAACAGCTGCGTTTGGAATATGGCTCCGAAGCATATTTTCGTTGGAAAAAAAACATTAGAAATCGCAACACTAACAGCAGCATGCACATTCAATGAGGGATTTATGCCTATCTTAAAAATTATGGAGGTTATGGGTGTCCAAATCGGCACGAATGGTATGAATTACGCTAAAAAGTACAACGAGTTAAGAATTAGGAGGGCAGAAAAAAAAGCATCCGAAACATCGAAACAGGCCAGGTCTTCGCGAAGAGCGGATAGAGTCGCTGAAAATGATGCCTATGAAGAAACTGAAGGCCTGCTTTACGCACCAGGGATTGCCGATTAATGTAAGTATAAATTAAAAAAAAAACTACAACCAAAATTTCTATTTTAAATTTCAAAACTGAAATTTTCGTCCGCCATTTTGAATTTTTTAAAACTAACACCGGATTCGTAATCAGCGATCTCCAAAACCCCCGAGTAACGAGTTTCATGTAAATCCGATGAATTTCTCAAAAGTGTCCGCCATATTGGATCCGCCATTTTAAATATTTCAAAACTAACATTTAATTCGTAACCAGCGACCCCGAATACCCCCGAGTAACGAGTTTTAGGTGAATCTAATAATTTTTAAATTTTTTCGTCCGCCATATTTGATCCGCCATTTTAAATTTTTAAAAACTAACACCGGATTCGTAACCAGCGACCTCGAAAACCCCCGAGTAACAAGCTTTAGGTGAATCTAATGATTTTTAAATTTTTTCGTCCGCCATATTGGATCCGCCATTTTGAATTTTTAAAAAATAACACCAGATTCGTAACCAGCGACCCCGAATACCCCCGAGTAACGAGTTTTAGGTGAATCTAATAATTTTTAAATTTTTTCGTCCGCCATATTTGATCCGCCATTTTAAATTTTTAAAAACTAACACCGGATTCGTAACCAGCGACCTCGAAAACCCCCGAGTAACGAGTTTCAAGCGAATTTAACCATTTTTGAAAATGGTTTATAGTTGATTAATCAACTATAAATTAATTAATTAATTACTATTGTTTAACTTTAAACGCGTTTTTTTCGAAATGACATTTTTTATAGCTGCGGTGGTAATTAAAAAAAATCTATCCGTCCGATTGCTCTAATTTTTTTACAGCTTATTCTACACAACCATGGCTATGGCCCGTACTAGAATCACGTACTTTTAATAACAACTTTGTTTTATTTTTAACTTTTTGTCAATAAAAAACAGAATATTTTCGAACCTTTTTGTTTATAAGTCCGCCATTTTGTTATTTTTTAACAAAAATGTTTCATTCTAGTACGGGCCATAGCCACCGGCATATAGAACAATAATCAATTTGATTTTTTTGTTTCAGATGACGTCATCGGATGTCATCATCACCGCAGGCCACGTATATAAATATTTTATTGTTAAATTAATTGTTTAATACTTAATAAAAAATTTAATAAAAGTATTAAAAAAAAATTTTTTTCAACAGTTGTTAACATAAATGAAAAGTTAGAAAAGTATTTAATCGGATTATATTTTATGTTGTATTAAAAAAAAATTTTGAAATAACCTTCCAAAACAGGGCCGAACACCAGAATACCCCCTTAAACAAGACTTTTTATGTTTTGGTTTGTCTACACTACACGCGTGGATACGATTTTTTGAGTGCCTCTTACATTTATCTTACAAACTTGAAGTTAAAAAATGGCGAGTAACCAGTGCAAAAGACAAAGAAAGTGTAGCTATTCGTTCAAAGAAGATAAAAGAGGATTTCAAATTACAGTTAGGGCTTATTGTTGATCAACCGAAACCTGGATGTGGCAGTTCGAACGACGGAAATACTGTTCGAAGATTTTTTAAGAACTCAAGTATTTCTGCTTCAATAACAGGAATTGATGAAAACCTAATTCACAGGTTTCATGTTATACTGCAAGCAATTTCCAGTGGATTTGACGTGAATATATTGAACTTTCAAGAATACAGTAGGGATACTGCTCGTCTTTTTGTGCAGCTTTATCCATGGTGCTACATGGCAACAACACTCCATAAAATTTTAATTCATGGAGCCGACATAATAAATTCATCTATATTGCCAATTGGACAAATGGCAGAAGATGCCCAGGAATCGACAAACAAATACATTAAACGGTTTCGACAAGACTTTTCTAGAAAATTCAGCAGAACAAAAACAATGGAAGACGTATTTTTGAGATTATTAGTATCATCTGACCCATTTATCACAAGTCTGAGAAAATTGCCACACAAAAAAATCAAAGAATTGTCTCCTGAAACACTCAAGTTATTGATATCATCAACCGACAACATGTCTGACAATGTCTTTACTCTTTCATCACCTGAAGTTAGTGATTCAGAATCGACTGATGATGAAGATTTTAATTTTTAAGGTATTGTCTGGGCTTATCATTTAACGGGGAACAAGATAATATGTTATATACAAATAAATTCAAGTTTTAGTTATTTTTTTAACAATTAATGTGTTTTAAACTTCTGTAAATATGTTTCAATTATATCTTAAAACTAATCTAGATCAATGGCACCAGTATAAGAACTTGTGGACACCAAATTATATACGAATAAAAAATATTTTTAAAATTCGTCGCAATATTATAACTATTATTCTTAATTTCTTAAAAATGATTTTAGATTCGTAATCAACGATCCCGAAATTCAGAGTAACGAGTTTTAGAAAAATTAAATTGAATTTTAGAAAATTTGTCAGCCATATTTAATCCACCACTTTCCATTTTTAAAATCTGACTTCAAATTCGTAATCAACGACCCCAAAACTCCCGAGTAACAAGTTTCAAAGCAATTGCATTGACTTTTATATAAGTAGTCCGCCATATTGGAGACGCCATTTTGAATTTTTAAAAACTAACGTCATATTCGTAATCAGCGACCCCAAAAACCCCCGAGTAAGAAATTTCAGGTCAGTTGGAACAATTTTTGAAAAAGTCGTCCGCCATATTGGATACGCCATTTTGAATTTTGAAAAACCAAGTTCAGATTCGTAATCAGCGACCCCAAAAACCCCCGAGTAAGAAATTTCATCCACTTTTAAACACATCTAGGGGTTTTGGCCAGGTTTTTTGCAATCTGGCCCACTGTGTGACAGCGCGTCAACGTGTCTTATTTTGTCGCCTTTTCGATGATGTATTTCAAAATTAAATTCTGAGAGATCATTCAACCATCGAACAATTTGTGGGTTTCGAGTTTTCAATGAGTTAACGTAGACAAGTGCTTGACAGTCTGTAATTATATTAAATTTTAATAAAATCAAAAAATGTCGCAATCGTTGGACTGCCCAAACTATGGCCAATAACTCCAACTTACTCGAGTGGTAGTTTTTTTCAACGTCGGAGGTTCGACGACTTGAAGCATAGACTACATGTAAAACGTTTTCTTTGTCCGATTGCAACAATAATGCACCCAATCCAAGAGCTTGTACATCCGTGTGCAATTCAATTCGTTCTGCTTTCGGATTAAAATACGCTAAGCAAGGTTTTGATCCAATAAGATTTTTAATTTCATTGAAAGATTTTTCTTGATTTTCGTCTCATCTAAATTCAACATTTTCTTTACATAACCCCATAATGGGTGACATTATTCGCGAAAAATTAGGAACAAATCTTCGAAAGTAACTCGCCAAACCGTGGAATTGTCAAACTTTGTGCGCATTGATGGTTTTCATCAACTTTGCGAAATAAAATGGTGCATTCATAAGCCCAAACATTGCACGCTCAAACTTCTTTGTCAAATTTTGACGTCTGGGTCAAAACTGCCCTCAAAATTGACCTAAATTTTGAGGGTAGTGGAAATTGTTTGTCAATTTTTGATGGGTAGGTCAAAATTGCCTTTCAAATTGACCTAAATTTTGAGGGTAGCGGAAACTGTTTGTCAAATTTTGACGTCTAGGTCAAAACTGCCCTCAAAATTGATCTATATTTTGAGGGTAGCGGAAATTCTTTGTCAAATTTTGACGCCTAGGTCAAAACTGCCCTCAAAATTGACCTATATTAACGTAATGTGAGGCCTTTATTTATCCTCTTTTTGACCTACAGGTAAAAAAATATGTCAAATTAGACATAGATTTTGACGTAATGTGAGGCCGTTATTTATTCTCTTTTTGACCTGTAGGTCAAAAAATAGGTCAATTTTGACATAAGTTTTGACGGCCCCTTTGGGATAGGGCGCCCTTACAGAATCTTGAAACAGCGGCGGCGATATCTTTTTGTAATATAGATATATATATATATATATATATATATATATATATATATATATATATATATATATATATATATATATATATATATATATATATATATATATATATATAGATATATATATATGTCGATCGCATATTTTGAGACCATTTCGTGAAACGAACGCATGTTTTGGGGACATTTTGATTCTTTGGGGACGTCCCCAAACTATCACTTAGTACATCGCATAGTTTGAGGACATTTTAGGGATTTTGGTGAAATTGTATATTTTGAGGACTTAAAAGTTCTTGAAGGACTAAGAGATGGCAGGTCGATGTCGAAATTAGAACAAATATGGATTTCGTTAGAGAGTCCTCAAAATATACTTTGAAAAAAATTTAAGTAAATATTACTTTTTAACATTGTACATGTCTTTACAATATTAAATAAATTTATAATAAAAAAAATTGCGCAGTACAGCTAAATGAGAGTAACTTTAACACATTTTATATATACATGCGCAGTAGAAAAATCTGTAACCTATAAATGCGCAGTGAAGACACATAAAAGAAACAATTGCGCACTTTATTTAATTAATATATATCTTGCACAGTAGATAAATCTAATACATGCGCAGTAATCCAAAGTTAGAAATTAGATATGCGCACTTCACCTGACTGTTTCGCAAACGTGATCAGAAGACATATCTAAAATCAGACATGGGCAGTAATTATACGAAAGAGAAAAGTTGCGCCGTTTCTTAAATTAAACTAGATACATGCGCAGTAGATGAATCTGAAACCAATACATGCGCAGTAAGACTAAATGGACAAAAGAAGATGCGCACTTCATCTGAATGTTTCGCAAACGTGATCAGTAGACATATGTGACACAAGACGTGCGCAGTATTTATAAAAAAGTAACAAATTTGCGCTGTTTTTCTCATTTAAACAGACACATGCGCAGTACATAATTCTGGTACTAATACATGCGCAATAATAGTAAAAGGGGAAAATGAGATGCGCACTTCATGCGCAGTTAATGAATATGCAACCAATACATGCGCAGTAATGCTGATTGAGAAAAAGAGATGCGCACTTCATCGGACTCTTTTGCAAACGTGATCAGCAGACATATTTTAAGCAAGACATGCGCAGTAAATATACAAAACAGAAAAGTTGCGTTGCTTCTTTACTTGAAACAGACTCATGCGCAGTTAATGAATATGCAACCAATACATGCGCAGTAATGCTGATTGAGAAAAAGAGATGCGCACTTCATTGGACTCTTTTGCAAACGTGATCAGCAGACATATTTGAAGCAAGACATGCGCAGTAAATATACAAAACAGAAAAGTTGCGTTGCTTCTTTACTTGAAACAGACTCATGCGCAGTTAATGAATATGCAACCAATACATGCGCAGTAATGCTGATTGAGAAAAAGAGATGCGCACATCATCGGACTCTTTGCAAACGAGATCAGTTGACATATCTAAAACAAGACATGCGCAGTAAATATACAAAAGAGAAAAGTTTCGTTGTATCTTTTATTAAAAGAGAAGCTATAAACTAGCTTATAAACAAAGTAAGAAATTTTATAAATTGCAATTTAGCTAAAAAGTATTTTGTAATGTTTAAATTGTATTAAAAAGATAGATGCATAGTTTGGGGACCTGCATCAAATCTGAGTTTTTAAGCTAAAAATACATTTGTTAAATATTTAAACCCTCTTATCAACTAACTAATAAATAAAGTAAGAAATGATTGATTGCAAATTAAAATAAAAAGTATTTGCTAATGTTTAAATTGTATTAAAAAATCTAGGTGCATAGTTTGGGAACCTGCATCAAATCGAAGTTTTTAAGCTAAAAATATATTTGTTAAATATTTAAACCCTTTTATCAACTAACTAATAAATAAAGTAAGAAATGTTATAGATTGCAAATTAGATAAAAAGTATTTGCTAATGTTTAAATTGTATTAAAAAAGTTAGATGCATAGTTTGGGACCAGAATCAATTTAGTGTATTTAAGCTAAAAATATCTTCCTAAAACATTTAATTCCTCTTTTCAACAAACTAATAAATAAAGTAAGAAATGTTATAGTTTGCAATTTAGATAAAAAGTATTTGTAAATATTTAAATATTATTCAAAAGTTTAGATACATAGTTTAAGGACCTGCATCAAATCAGAGTT